CGCCAGCAACTCATAGCAGCCCAGCTCCAGGATGAGCTGTTGTTCAGCATCTTAGCTGTAGAGGGCAGTGTCACTGGCCCTCATGTGGGATCTGAACTGGGGCCCTGATGTGCAGAGCTGGCGTCCCAAACCAGCTCTTAACCAGCACGCCACTCGGCTGGCCGTCTCCATCTTTTTACATCTTTAAAGTCTTTTGAAACCTTTGTAAATCTTGCAAAGATTTACATAGAATAGAATTTACATAGAATAGGTCATTCCTTTACTTTCAGGGGCACATGGGAACTCTGGGAATATGATGAAAGTTTTGGCCCTTCTTCCAGGAAAATGTACACCAGCATGTACACTTGACATGTGGCCGACATTTGTGTCTGTCCATAGCTTTCCCCTCCTTCCAGGGCAGTGGTTATCACACTTTAAGTGAAATAAGACTTTGCGGGGAACTCATGAAATAAACAGACTGTGCTTCAACAGCTTTTTGTGAGAAAGCTCAGGACACTTAGATAAAAGAAGAGACTCGACTTGGAGTATGATTGAGGAACAGGACTCTCGGACTACAGGGTTAGTAATTGGTGAGGTCGTGAAGCCCAGTGGGGGACAGTGGGGTCTTTGGAATCAGACCTGAGCTTTGAATTTGGCTCAGCTGCTCACTGGCCAGGTGACCTTGACCAGGGGCCTAACCTGTGGGGGTTTTCATTTCCCCCACCTCCTGTATGAAGGGGGGTGACAATATTGCATGAGGGTTAGATGAAATAATGTAGCTCTGAGCAGAGTGTTGGACATACTGCTGGAGCCTGAGAACTGCTGACTCTCGTGTTTATATGTAACGTGTGTCATTTAAGACTAGGTGTTGAACAGTAATTCATTAAGTGGTGCCAAGTGTCTAATCATTTTCCTTGTCAGCATCAGGCTTGAAGGGCTCTGGCCAGACTGCAAAGGAGGATTTGCTCTCTCCTGGGGTGGTGGGAGCCACTGAGAGATTTGAATGTACAATACCAAACATCAGGTGTTCTTACTGTACATTTTCTTTCTTTCCTCCCTAGAATGGCTTCAACAAGGAAAACCAGCCATCCCATGCACGATATCTTTGGTGATTTCAGTGATATTTCCTCAGAAGATTCAAAGATGGAAGAAATCAGAAACTTGAAAATCAGTAGGAACCTCACCAAAAGAGCTCCCAGTCATAGCAGATTTCTGAAAAGAAGCCAAACTCTGGATGAAAAACACTTATTCCCGAAAGAGGATACTGGCCTGGGGAGTGGGCCCCGGCTGTCCTCAGGGAGACCCCTGACCACTGCCTCAAAGCTAAGGACCAGCGCTGCGCTCAGGAAGCTGGCCCAGATTGAATCTAAGATCATGAACCGGAAGGTGCAGATGGACTTGTCTGACATGGAATCCAACCCAGAGACCTCCAGCAGAGCAGACAAAATTCCTCCCAGGAGTACAGTTGAACTTTCTAAACAGAATACAGGCAAAACCTCCCAGGAGCAGGCCTGTGAAATTCCTGTCGCTGAGAGCAACACACTGAAAGGGAAGGCCAGTAGGTTTCTAAAGAAGAGAGGGCCACCCATGGAAAACCTATTCCCTAAAGCCCACTTTGGGACAGAGAGGAATTTTCCAACACCCAAAGAAAAAGAACCTACTAGAAAATTGGATTCTCCAGACAGTGATGAAGAGGAAATGAAAGAGTTGCTGGGAAGCTTGAAGGAATCTTCTAGCGAAAAAGAAATACACATGAAACAGGGTTTCACCAGCACCAGATTCAATAAGGAAGAACGAACAGAACTATTCTCGGTAAGGTTCGCACGTATTTATGTTCAAGAAAGCCCCCATTTGTACCTTTCTGTCATAGTGCTAGAGACTTGATAGCAACCGTCCCCCCTAAGCTACCTGAGAAAAGGGTTTGACGAGGAAAATTGGGGTTTCAGACATTCACAGCTATCTATTGTGGGTGTGCTCTGTAGGGGATGGAATTTGGGGCACATGAGGCAGCTTTACAATACTATCTAACTCGTAACTGTGTAAACCACAGCACAACACTTTGACCATTCAAACGCCAGCAGTGATTAATGCCTTCTGCGATCCACGCCTACTTGTCACTTGTACCACACAGGAATCATTAACTTGGGAAGGCTGTATTTCCATTTTTTTATTGAGATGAAATTCACATAAAATTAACCGTCTGTAAATGAACAATCCAGTGTCATTTGGTACATTTACAATATTGTGCAACTACCACTTCTATGTAGTTCTAGACATTTTGATCACCCCCAAAGGAGACCCATTAAATAATCACTCCCATTTCCCCCTCCCCCAGCCCCTGGCAACCACTAATCTACTTTCAGTCTCTGGATTTGCCTGTTTTGGACATATCATATCAATAGCATCCTACACCATGTGGTCTTTTGTGGCTGGCTTCTTTCACTCAGCATGATGTTTTCAGGGTTCATCCATGTTGTAATGTGTGTCAGTACTTCGTTCTTTTTATGGCCAAATAATATTCCACTGTGTGGATGGACCACATCTTATTCATTCTTCCATTGATGGGCATTTGGATCTTTTCCCTCTTTTGGGCATTGTGACTCCTGCTGCTATGAGCATTTGTGTACAAGTATCTGAGTCTCTGTTTTCAGTTCTTTTGGGGTAGATACCTCAGAGTGGAATTACTGGGTCCTATAGTAATTCTATGTGTAACTTTTTGAAAACCAGCCAAACTGTTTTCCACAGTGGCTGCACCATTTTACATTCCCACCAGCAGTGTATGAGGGTTCCATTTTCTCCCTATCCTAGCCAATACTTGTTATTTTCTGGGTTTTGATTATATAATAGCTATCCTAGTGGATGTTAAGTGATAAGAAGGCTGTGTTTTAAGGGAAAACAATCTCCATATTTTGGTTTTGTTGAAGGTCCAGGCTGTCATAGATCATGTACTCGGGGACCTTCATTTAGAAAATGTGTAATTAACAATATGTATTTGAAAGCAAAGCGGTAGTTCTGATTATTTGTGGAGTATTTCTAATACTAACATTATCTTGTCTAAATATTGTACCTTGACTTTCAGAAATGAGGGGAGAGGAGAGAAAGGGCCACCGAGGGATAAATATCTGATCTCGGAAGCTTTGGTCCCATGCACCCCACTAGCCATACTGTCAAATGATAAGGACTTGTTTATCACACATTTGGTAATTTTGTTTCTTTCTTTTATTTCCGCCAAAGTAGGCTCAGCTTCCAACTCAACCGAAACTCCTTTCGCTACCCAGTGAGGAACTTTCCAGCCCAAAGCCACTTGGGACATCACATCTGCCAACCTCCCAGTCAGCAGACAGGACCCTTCACGGCATGCGCTCAAGAGCACGCTCCCCACAGACTCACACTGCAGGGGACAGAGCCCCTCATCTGGCATCACCTTCCATCACCAGCACTGTGTCAAAATCCGTGGTGCACAGCAGGCCCTTGTCCCCTTCTGGAAGGAGTGAGGCTGAGCCTGGGGAGAAGTTGCTCTCAGAAGCCTCCGACGACAGCCTAAGCGGTAATCCATGGCCCTGTGCAAGGTCATCACCCTGGGCAGGAAGGGTGAGGCAGCCGTTAGGGTCCCCAGTATGGTGGTCACAGGCTACCATCACAGGGAGTGCATGGGAGGCCTCATCACACCCCCACTCCCTGACATCCTTTCTTGGCTGAGGGGCCAGGTCAGAGTTTTGGTCTGTCGTTAAAGACTTCATCCAGTAACCCTGACCAACTACAGAGCAATGACCCGAAATGGCTAGTGGGGTGCATGGGACCAAAGCTTCCGAGATCAGATATTTATCCCTCGGTGGCCCTTTCTCTCCTCTCCCCTCATTTCTGAAAGTCAAGGTACAATATTTAGACAAGATAATGTTAGTATTAGAAATACTCCACAAATAATCAGAACTACCGCTTTGCTTTCAAGTACATATTGTTAATTACACATTTTCTAGAGCCACAAGCAATAGAAAGGCCACTCAGTTTTCCTTTTTGCAAAAGAGAAACTTGCCTCCTTTCCTTTTTAAATTCAGAAAAGGAAACAAATCTCTATAACCAGTCACAATTAAACATTTCTATTATTTCCATAGTATTTAACAGTATTTTAATATTATATGGATTTAAGAAAGAGGAGAAAGGAAAGAGATGTGGCGCCAACATGGGTTTTTTCCCTCTGGGAAGCTTTATACTCAAATCCAAGCTACATAACTGTGTCCTGAGTGCCTGCTGTGTGTCTGAAGGACAACCAATGCCAGCCCTGCCCCCAGGGGCCGGGTGACCATTACCTATGAATCAGTTATAGGGGAGGAAAATATAGCTTTTTCCTTTTCCTTCTAGGTTCTCAGCTGGGGCTCTGTAACAAAAGACAGATGGACGGGAGAACAGCATGCAGATAGTAAATAAATATTTAATGTAACTTTTACGTGATAGGAGCCCTCCTAAGAAACCAAGGACCTGAAGGAATGGGTCAAGCCTGAGTGTGTTTGCGCTAGGTTTGATGAGGAGTGAAAAGGCCTGGAAAAACGTGACAGGATGAAAGAAATGAGCTAAGGGCCGTAAACTGGGGGATACTGAGCAAGGCCTGTCCGTTGGGATTCCTCTTGGTGTGTCCCTGTGTCTTGGCCACAAGGATGGTCCCTCCCTCTGGGTAGCGGGATGGCCCCTCTCACAGGAGGGTCTTCCCAGCCTGCCTCGGGGAAAAAGTTAGAGAGTGCTCACAGCACTTGCCATTGCTCAGATTCCTTCAGCTTGAAATACTCAGTATGCCAAGGTGCCAGCCCAGTGGGGTGGGGGAGAGAGGTGCTGCCAACAAAGATCCATCCCTTCCGCCGGCCTGGGTTAGGGTCAGAGGATGCAGTGGGGTGGGGCCTAGGCTGTGAATGAGAACAAACCCCTTTGAGCCCTTTCAGGGGCTACCATCTGCCAAACGTCCCTTGGAGCCTGGCGGGTACTGGCCCAGATCTTTAGGCCAGAGGGCTGCTAAGTGGTTGTCCTCACCAGTCCGTCCCCACTGCTGGCCTGGAGGGGCCTCTCCTGGGGGCAAGACCCCACCCTCCCTCATCCAGATGCAGCCTTGAGAAAGGGAGGCTGCTGGGAGTGGTGAGTCTGAGTTTGGGGTCTGACATGTCTGGGGTGGATGTCCTGGCCCCGCCAGTTACCGGTTGTACAGTCTCGGCTTCACTGTGCCTCAGTTTCCTCGTTTGTAAAGTGAGCAGACCCACATCAGTGAAATAATGAAAGGGAAGCGCCTCAGCTGGTCCTGATTCACAGTAAGTGCATGCGTTTAAGGGTTGGCTGATGTGATAATAATGTTATTCCTCAGCCAACACTATTCTAAGTGCTCAAGTCCAGAATCTTTCATGGGCCTTGGCCCTGGGCCAGTTGGGATGGCTTAGTTCAGATGTTTTGTCCTAGAGCGCATGTTTGGACCTACCTGCCACATGAATTAAAGTGACAGTCAGTGTTAGAGGAGGGAGCGACCCTCAGACTGGAATGACAGGTAGGATTGATCTAGTCTGACGGTGGGAGCCTGGCGTTTGAGGCTGCACTCAGCTGACCTTTCCAGAGAGAATGGGCAGCTCACCCTTCCCCTCCCTCCAGCTCTGTGCCTCCTGCCCAAGGGCCCTGCTCCCATCTGTTCTTGCTAATAGTCCTCAGCACCCACATCCTCGGGCCCTGGTGACCGGCCTGCTGGCACACCAAAATGCTCATTCACTGTTAGCGCCTGTGTCCTTAACTTGCTTTAAGTGGGAACACAGGACACTTTGGGCTCAGTCTCACGTCTGCCTGAGCTGCCACTCCCCTGGCATTATATGCAGCCTTCTCCCCATCTCCCCATCTCCCCCAGAAGCCAGGTGCCCCTCCCACCCCTCATACCTCAAGCACACTTGTCACTCACCATGCATCCTTCATTGCATTGTGATTGTCTGTTCATCTGTCTAGAGCAGGGGGCAGGAGACCCAGTGTCTGTTTCTATAAAGTTTTATGAGAACACTGCCGCACCTATTCATTTACACCTGGACCAAGGTGGCTTTCACACCATAAGGACAGAGCTGAGTAGTTGTGACAGAAACAGTCTGGCCCGCAAAGACAAAAAATATTTGCTATCTAGCCCATTAGAGAAAAAGTGTGTGGACCCCCTGGCTGGCTTATTGAGAACAGCGACGGCTCGTCTTCCCCTCTTCCTAACCCTAGGGCTTCGCCTACAATGTGATGGTAAATGTTTATGGAGTAAATAAATGAGTAAATATTGTCATGTTACATTTTTAATTACAGATTTTCGAATAAATATTTTATCCCTTGATGATCTGGTTCCAGCTGTCAGTGAGAAATCAGAACAGAAAGTAAGTACAACTAATTTTTCATTGTAGGTCATTACATAGAAAGACTTGCAACCATTCTGCTTCATTTAGGTTAGCGGTTCGTGGGAGGGCAGGGGGGTGGTGGGCGATTGTGCTCCCAGGGGACACTTGATTGTCATGACTGGGGTTGTGGGGTGCTGCTGGCTTTGAGTGAGTGGCAGCCGGGGATGCTGCTCAGGTTCTTGGAATGCTCAGGATGGCCCCCCACTGCAAAGAATGTTTGGGCCTCAAATATCAATAGTGCATAATACATAATGACACCTTAACATTTCACCCACGTGCCCCTATGCAGAGTCGCACCATCAGTGTTAAGTGCAGTAGCCCGTGCTGAAGCGTTTCACGAGTCCTGTTCAAATACTTGGCCTATCCAAATCTAACCAAGGGCCAGTGGGGACCCTCACCTGCTGGGCCCCCAGGAGTACCCTGTACCTCATTCTAAGGCAGTGGTATTTGGAGCGTTGTTGATCACTCAGAAACACTTTCCAATTAATGTGATATACCACATCAACAAAATGAAAAATAAAAACCATATGGTCATATCAATAGATACAGAAAAAGCATTTGACAAAATCCAGCAGCCATTTATGATAAAAACTCTTAACAAAGTGGGAATAGAGGAATCATACTCAACATAACAAAGGCCATATATGATAAACCCACAGCTAACATCATACTCAATGGGGAAAAGCTGAAACCATTCCCCTTAAGATCAGGAACAAGACAAGGTTGTCCACTTTCTCCACTTTTATTCAACGTAGTTCTGGAAGTTCTAGCCACAGCAATCAGACAAGTAAAAGAAATAAAAGGCATCCAAATGGGTAAGGAGGAAGTAAAATTGTCATTATATGCAGATGACATGATACTATATATAGAGAACCCCAAAGACTCCACCAAAAAACTATTGGAACTGATAAATGAATTCAGTAAGGTAGCAGGGTATAAAATCAATATTCAGAAATCAGTTGCATTAGTATACACCAATAACAAACTAACAGGAGACATTAAGAAAACAGTCTCATTTACAGTTGCTTCAAAACTGTAAAATACTTAGGAATAAATTTAACTAAAGAAGTAAAAGACCTGTACTCAGAAAATTATAAGACACTGAAGAGAGAAATTAAAGATACAAATAAATGGAAACACATACCATGCTCATAGATAGGAAGAATTAATATAGTTAAAATGTCCATGGGCCGGCCGCGTGGCTCGTTGGTTAAGAGTTGGCTTGGGACACCAGCTCTGAGCAGCAGGGCCCCGGTTCGGATCCCACATGGGCCAGCGACGCTGTCCTCTGCAGTTAAGATGGTGAACAACAGCTTGACCTGGAACTGGGCTGCCGTGGGTCACTGGCAACAGCATAGGCTGCAGCCCCAGCTGCA